GCATTTCCTGCCGCTGGGAAAATTTCTCCAGAAACACGGCCATCTTAATTCCCTTCTCTGGTAACATTCCCTTTCCCACCCTATCAACCATATTCTCCACATTTCCTGACTTCCCACCGATGAGATCGCCACCAAGCAACTGCGACAAGCAAATACGACTCCCCCATTGCAATTCACCTAATGATGTAGAGAGTAACCGAGAAAATCAACTACCAAAAAATGTTCCAGGTAAACGCGACCCCCTCCCTCCGCCGAAAAAAAAATGCGATTCCCTCTTAGACGATACCCAATGTACGACTGCCCTGATCCAAATGCGGATAGTTCTTGCAACGTACCTGTTCACGGCTCGTGAACTTCGTTCAGCTGTCAAATCTTCCTCAGCAATTTCAGTCCAGCCCAACGAACGTACCGCAAAGCGGATTGGCTGAAAAAGTGTAATATATCTTCCGAGAACTTCATTGAATATTGAAAAGCCTAAAAATGAGAATCGTCAGTATTCCAAAATTGAAATAAGAATAGATCTTCTCAAGGGCTCAGCTACCCCAATTCCCAGTTTTTTTTTCTTCAAATCGGAAATGTGCAAAAGCTTTGGATCTCACCATTAAAGCGGGTCTTATAAACAGAATGAGACCGGCAAGTGATGTTGCACTCATTAAGTACCACTAGCTGAATCAAATGCACCGATCTCATTTGTAAGAATGTGCAATCGACAAGGTTCCAGCATGTCATCCATTTCAATTCAGCATACCGTATATGCACAAATGATATTCAGGGAAAAGAGCTCAGGAATTTTCTGAAAAGCTCAACAAGCTTGTCATCACGCAGCTAACAGTACTCGAGATCGCGACAGCAAACGAAATGCGATGTGGCAAGAGCTCAATGGCTAATGAGAAGGATTTGAAGAATCCCTTGTGCAAAACCAGGATTACTGTAACGAAGATGAGGGTTTCTGCCTAAGCCTGAGAAGGAAGGAGCTTCAAAGAACCAGTGTCTTATGATTAGTGCCACAAAGATGAGTCCATGTTACAGCAATATAAGCTTAGCACAAGAAGTTCTTAGGCCGCGTTCCTACTTGAATTCGAGGTACTAGTCGCGCGACTGCCGCTCAACCGCGCCACCGCTAATCGTTAGGCAGCTGCAAAGTTCGAAATAAGATTTATAATGACTGTGAACAAATCAAAACTCATAGCATTCCAAGGATTAGCGGTGGAGCGCGGGCAGTCCCAGTCGCAATGGCTTGAGTGCCCGGCACGATCTAATCCTCGAATGTTCTGCCTTTTCCTACGAGGCCTTCTCAAAAAAACTTCGCGCCAATCGACCGCTTGGTATCGCGCGAATCAATCACTCGCGATTCTTCGAGCGAGCAAAACTACGAAGGCACGACAGCGATTGTCGACTCGCCGAAGTACGACGCTGCCCTGCGCGACTGGTCCGTTGTTAACAATAAGGCGCTAGTGATCCTGCGAAAAATATAAAAAGCACTATGCAGCCCGCCAAGAGGTCTCCAACCCTTACTTATAACTTACATTATTTACCTCACTCCGAATTTGCTTATGAAACGCATAAGATCTGACGCAAATCGAGACTTCGCGCAAAATTGGCATAAACCAGGCAGAAAGGAACGTCTTGCTCACCAAGATCAGTGTTTGCAACCAGCCTTTTGATCACACGCCCACTTTGGAGCAAACGGCTAGCTTTTGAAAAGAAAGAATTAGCGTCATTATTGAATGCTCACCCACTTGACTCATTTTCAGCAAGCAAAGCCCACTGTTTTTCAACTTGAAAAAGGTGCCTGGATCCAGTGCTGAAACATCTATCAGCCGTCCAAATGTTTAATATTTCGATAGAGACGGAAATCAAGCAACCAGAAGCTTTAGTTTGTATAGCTGTATAAAGGTTATCATCACAGGAGAAAAAAAAAATCCGAAATACGCTGACCCTGCATCCATCACTAAGAAAATGAACTTCGATATCACTGTCTACCGATTTATATGGCAACGTCTAACGCGACTGAACAGTCAACAGCCATAATAAATTTCTTCAAAAACGCGCCTACAGTCCACATCCCGGCAGGATAGTGGACCGCGACTTCATAGCAAGACATGGCTATGCTTTTCGTGCAATACCTCCAGTGGAACAACCCTTTATTCTTCTTTACGTTGAACAAAGGCCTGGTAACAATTGTCCCAAGAGAAGGAATTGCACCAGTCGCCACCAGGTACGTGGCCACGCCCTCCCTATCTCCGAAATATGATTCGCGCAAGTCCTCCCAAAAGGAAATCCTCCAGCGATTATGTGCCCCTCCATTAATTATCACCCAAAGCAACTCGGCAAGATCTTGAAGCAGTCTATAAAATCTCTACTATAGACAGGCATAATGCCTCAATAAATGTAATCATATTTTTTCGTCGTTGCCTTGACATTTCCAAAAACATTGAGACCAAAATAGATATTCCAATGCGGAAATTTTCAAAGCGAAAAATTTGGGTTTGCTTCAGCCACGTGTCCTGGTAGACTTGGCCTGGACTAAACAATTAGAATCTCCTCCCTCTGTGTCGATCAAACAGAGAAGTGGAGTCGCGATCGGGGGACGAAAAGGGTAGCAGAACTATGCCTCTTCTTGTGACATTATCAATGAAACGTCCTTCTAGCAACTCCTAGGATAAACAAGTCATATAACTATTGAAGTCAATTAGAACTCGACGGTATATTATTGCAAAACTCTATCCGTTTCCCTAAAATTTGTTGGAATTCAGGTCGAGTGCCAAAGCTTACATCAGAGCCCTTGCCCACTGGAGCGGAAGCTCGCCCATTCATGCGAAAAAAGCCATCCACATCGGCAGGCTAGAGTGCGAACTGGCAAATTATGGCCTTCCTCATCGCCTAGAGCTTCGATAGAATGAAATAATTGATTACGATTGAGGAATAGCTAGTAGTGTAGAACAATTCTGCTGTTCTTGCTAGTTCCCCGTGGCAGTTTTACGTGTGTCTCACATGCTTCGCGCCTTATAACGTTGTTAGTCAAAACTTTTATCCAATTCAGCCTAGCGCTTGCACTAATCGTCGTTTTAGGCCTAAACATGTTTTCATTTTTAAAGTACGTTCGACCCTACCAAGAGACTCGTTAGCGGCTCTAAAATTGAAGCCAGATGTTTGATGGGCTTAGGGCACGTCCTGTCGTTGGGGACAACTTTTCAAAGTAGGACCCTCCCCTAAATGGACTTTCTCAACGTTGTGAATAGCTTGCGTAAAATAGGAAAAATCAATTATAGAAGAAAGATTCTGAGGCTAATTACAACCCCTACGCCTCCCTCCAGCGACCGAAAACTGCCACTGAAAGCAAGGGATTCCCTGGCGCGTACGACATGCAATGGAGGGGAGGGGTGACGTACCTCAGCACTAAGACTATGTTCTGGTCTAGAAACGACGATTTAGCGAAACGTGAGCTAAACTGGAAGACAGTTCCATTCAACAACTTCGTAAGGTGCAAAACGAGTAAAACTTCAGAGGGCGGCACAACATAATGTCGAATGGAGGGAGGGCAAACAAGTAAACACTCCAAGCAGTTTCGGCCTTTGTTCTTCCACGTAATTCAGAAAACTAGTGCTACTTGTTGGTTGCCGCGAGGTACTGTAGAAATAAATAATAGCACAAAAAAGCAATTGTTCTACAATAGAGTGAATTTGAAAACTTCACGAAAACAAGGGGAAAATCTTACGAAACCAGGCTGAGACGAGCGGCCTTACATGTATACACGCCTATATGTCGAACAAATAATCCGCAATGCATCACTTTCCTCAGCGCTTAGCTATCGGAGTCGGACGCGAGTTTTCTTTGCATTATGTAATCTCATTGGATGGAAAGTGCCACAAGGAGCAGAGAAACGCGTCGGTTCTAAGCCAAATGGCGTCCAGCGCTACGTATTTCACTGATCGACGACGATAAGCGAGCATTAAATGAAGCGCTCAGAAAACAACGACACCAGAGGATTAATGCGCCGCTATAACTCATTGGGCTTAAAAGGAACTACGGTGTCTGATGACTAAGAGTACGGCGGTGCAGCGGTGTAGGATTGGTGCAGAGAGTTTCGAAGAGAAAATAGAACTTGATAAAGCAAAAAAACAGTAGTGTAAAGAGAAATCAAGGCAGTGATAAATAATCCTGGTCTATTGCTGACAGCTGGAAGCAAAGAGAATAGCGACTTTTCCATTGAAAAAAAGAAATCCTAAAAAGAATGGGAACGCAGCGCTTCTCACTTCCATCCATTGAACTATAGTTATGGGGGGAACGCCCACACATCTTTGAATAAATACGCAGGCGTACTTGAACTCATTACTGAAATAACTTGTGGTGCTAAAAAGGGCCGCATAAAGAAGTCCTGGGCAAACGTTTGGAGGACTCGTCGTAGGTTAAGGCCTTAAATGAAGGGGCCGCATCTGTCGTAGGAGAAAGCGGATCGCATTTCCAAAAATCTTTTGTTTACTTACTCTTCCCGATTTTCCCTGCGCCTCCGCCTCCCCCCCTTCGACAATAGAGACAACTTTTATACCTAACTTCTTTTACACAACTTTTTTCTTTTTTTTCATAGAGGACAACAGATAGACGATGTAGTTGGGAGGAAAAACAGAGGAATTTGCAGAACACGGGAAACTCTGAAAAGGTGGCAGAAAGGTTAGAAAAAAATACAGGAAGATGGCCGGTAGGGTCGGGGAAGGGGATATAGTACCAGAGGAGGAACTATCGACAGCGGCCTCATTTTGCAATTTCTCGGATGACAGCAATCTCATTACACAAGAAGTCCTTAAATGCCTTTGTTCCCGCCACATTTTCCCTTCCCGCCCCCTCTCCCACCACACCACAAGGTTGTTGGCGTCTAGGACTTCGCAAAGGAGGGGACACATGGACAAGAGAAAAGTTACTCCGAGTCACTGGCGCAGGTAAATCATTGTTGGGGACTCACGTGGTCGGGAAAATATACCTTACGATATCCGAATTCCTCTTCACCATCGCTTTCTTGAGAATTTTCTATGCGACGTTTCGTCGTTGTCTGCTTGAAAGCATGTTTGCTTATGAACGCGCTGAATCTGAGGTGGAAGTGTAGTCACCCTAACGATAAAACAAGATAATGGGAAATTTCCATATGAGCGAATTTATGAAAGAACAACTCACTACATAACACGATGTTACGATTTCTCCAAGTATTGAAGTTACAAGAATGTTTATCATCAAAGTTGGTGGATAATATATATTGTAAAACCCGGGGCAACGAAAGGGCTCTAATTGTTTATGGAGCACAGAACTATTGAGCTGTGAGGGTAAGGATGCGAAAAATAACCGAGCAGCGTTAACGATTTGGCAAGCCTGGCCAGAACAAGCGATGGTGGTGGGGCAGATTCGAGATTTGAAGGGGACGGCAATTTTTTTTAGCCGGCATGAACTCCAGCCATGCTTGTGGTAAGTATGAGGCCACACACTCAGACATTTGATACGCATCAAAAGGGTAAGCCCCTCGTCGCTGGCTCCTTACAAAAACTATTACTAATTGGTAAAGTTGGCAGTAATTTTCCCAATGAACGTAACCGGAGACATAATTCATGATGAGATTGTACGTGCCTGAAGCTAAAGGCCAGGTGCGGGAGACTATTACGCGAACAACTGCGGCAGGCGCTCGAGCAGAAACCGAATGAAATTTAACTGAAATAAATAGCTGAAAGGAAATGCCCAAATGCGCGACCACAAAGGAATTAACAACGATCTCCGCGAACCGCGTGACACACATGGTGGTGATCATGATTTGCCTCTATTGCTGTTTTAATTTATTTGATTACGTTTGAATATCTCTTTTTCATGTTCTGTTGCTTAGTGAGGACACCTTCTTTTCGGTTTATCCACAATATCCTACCTACATGAGCCGTTTTGAAAATAGGAAGGAAATTACTAGTCAATTTTTTGTATGAAATGATGAAATCGATAGCAGGTGCGCCGCCCAGTAGCGGCGGTCCGGCCAGTGGTGGTTAAAATACAAATTGCTCTCGATCTGGATTAAGACTAACTAATTTAAGCAGAAGCTCACTCACTTCCAAAAGAAAACAGGTTAACTTGAAATATCGAACAATTAAAGGCATCGAAAGGAAGGAAGCGAATTCAGATTTTGTTTCGTCAACTCGCAAACTTTGCTCGTTCAAAATTAATCTACCCACATCCCTTCAGCTAACTCCGTAAGAACGGTTAATCATATTATTCAACGACTCCTTCAGAAGAGCGACAAAATTACCTGCGGTTCTGGTGGTGCATCAGCTTGAGTTTCACGGCTCTGAAAAGTAAAATATAGGAGCGACGAAAATCAAACCATTAGCAATTCCTATAGCATGAACCTAATTAAAAAGAAAATAAAGGAATAAAAAAGGAAAGGATGGCTCTTGAACGAAAAGGAAAATGTCTTTTTTTCAGAGAAATACATGCAGTCCATACTATCAACCAAGGATAACATGCAGCTTATACAACCTCAACCAAGGAGACAAAGAGAAAACTAAGTGGGTTCGCTTCACTCACATAAGTTGTCCTAGAATATATTGGTGGTGGTGGTGAAGGACTGCGCGGTGGAGTCTGGGCGCGCTATAATAAATTGAGTTAGTAGTTCAGAAACCATTTCTCTTCAATAGTATGACAGCACAGGCTCAGAAGAGTGGAAGTGTAAAGTTTGTGATATAAGTTTCTTCCCGTGCTAAATACAGGCTGTGCTGAGAACTCATTCCTCTCCAACGGGGCAGTTTTCTCGGAATATATGGAAAAAACTGGAAAGTTACTGCGCATTTCCGAAAAATATTAGTTGTCAAAAGTTGAGGAGTTCAAGAAGAGTGTGTAAGAAGGGATGGGGAGGGGAGGGGGCTGCGGCGGGGCGTGCAGAAGCAGGAACATATGAAGTGTGCCGTATTTTGCAAAATTTGCCTCAGTTGTAAGATTGCAGGAATACTCGAATCAATGACAATTTGCTCGTTTCCAATGAATGATTTCTTTCCCATAGAAAAGTTCCCTGATAGCAAAGGTGTATTAGATATTATATAATGTTAAAGAAGATCTTTTTGCTTAAAAGAGAAGTTCTTCACGCAGGAAGGGGAAATGGAGCATTATCATTACTAGAAAATCCTACTGATGGACAGGATATACACATTTGAGGCTATTTTCTGATATATAAGCGCCGTTCCGCTTGGAATGCTTCTGCAACAGCAAGCATGAGTTGTTTCTTTTTTTATGCTTTGCTCGCATGCAGTTTTCCGCCAACCAAGTAAGCAGGCCAGGTAGGACTTCATGCTGCTGATGGTTTTCCCACTGCTAGAAAAAGAAAAGCGGTAACCATAGTGGCCTAGCTATTCTCTCCCGTCGCCAAGTGTAGCTAGGCAAATGCGACTCATACCCAGGGAAAGGGCAATAGACGAGAAAATGGAAAGCTGTTAAATTCAATGGAAAACAGTTTATGATTGTTCAGGAATCAGGAGCACTTCTTTAGTCTACTCTATTGCTCTTGCTGTAGTTGCTTCTATGAGCTTTTGAGATTTGATAGAATTGATCCGGCGGTACAAAGTACTCCTCCAGTGGAAGGGCGGGAACTACCAGTCCAAGGAAAGACAAAAATTCCGTTAACAACAGTAAGTCAAAAGAGGTGAGCTTGGGGGAAAATGAAAGATGTTCCATGGTTTTGGGTTAGTGAAACCCTAGGTTGTTCCTAAAATAGCTATGGCTACGGTCAATCAAATTCAATTTCAATTCAAATCAAGGCAATCAATATCACCGAATGAAATCAAAAATTGTAAAACGGCTTGCTTCCTCGTTGCAGTTCAAGAAGTATGGCTTGTTGTTTAGTCAAAAATTCCCAAATGTTTTCATTCGAAGCGTAGGCATAACAAAACAAAGCAGGGTTCGACTTGGGAGGGGCACTTTGCACTTTTGCTAGTTCATGTTTGCTAACAGTTCTCTCCTTATTTGGACTTGGGAACTCTTGTAAAGCTGTGGCACAGGTGAGCAGCCTTTCAGTCACAGGAGTAAATAAATCTTTCACAACATGTTTTGCACAATCTTTGCTGAGTACCACTTAGTGCCCCTCCAAGCCGAACTGCGTCTGAGTGACACATACTGAGTAATAAAACAAGAATGTAATTCAATAACGCACTGGTGGTTCACGTTGAATTGTTCCGCTATCCACATGCCAGTAGTAAGAGAACCCTGATGGATCTGAAGAGATTAGATCAAACTTGAGCTAAACCTTCGTTTTCGTTCTAGCTGCTCTAGAGTTGAACGCTAGAACTTCTTGCAGCACGACCAATCGAATCAATAAAAAAAGGACAACATTCCAGTTTTGCAGAAAGAAAAAAATTTATGCCATTGAGCTCACCTTGGTGCTTTTCCCAGCCCGGAGGTAACTGCTTCGGCTCCTCTTCATTCACTGGAGGTGGTGGATTCACTCGTAACGGTTTACTATACTGATTCTCGAATACCACGCCAGAATCGTGTGATTCTGGGGATAGCACCGTTTCAACAACCTGAAGGAAATGCGTGACTAGTGAGATTTGAGACTGAGATTAAATGAAATACTGTTTTTCAGGGACAAATGCGTAATAAAGAAGAAAAGCGAGACAACATAAAAGGTTTGCCACGAAGGATATCAAAACGAGTTCTACGAGCTTCAAATATAATTAACTTTCAAACCTTTCGATAAGATCTAATGAAGTTTTCTTGTGCTCAACCCACACT